TACTGTTTTCCACAGTGGCTGCACCAAATTGCATTCCCACCAGCAGTGTAGGAGGGTTCCCTTTTCTCCACAGCCTCTCCAGCATTTGTCATTTGTGGATTTTTGAATGATGGCCATTCTGACTGGTGTGAGGTGATACCTCATCATAGTTTTGATTTGCATTTCTCTGATAATTAGTGATATGGAGCATTTTTTCATGTGCCTATTGATCATTTGTATTTCTTCCTCGGAGAATTGCTTGCTTAGGTCTTCTGCCCATTTTTGGATTGGGTTGTTTATTTTTTTCCTATTGAGTCATATGAGCTGCTTATATATTCTGGAGATCAAGCCTTTGTCGGTTTCATCGTTTGCAAAAATTTTCTCCCATTCCATAGGTGGTCGTTTTGTTTTACTTCTGGTTTCCTTTGCTGTGCAGAAGCTTGTAAGTTTCATTAGGTCCCGTTTGTTTATTCTTGCTTTTATTTCTATTGCTTGGGTAGACTGCCCTAGGAGAAAATTTTTGAGATATATGTGAGATAATGTTTTGCCTATGTTTTCTTCTAAGAGGTTTATTGTATCTTGTCTTATGAGAGCCTAAATGTCCATCAACAGATGACTGGATAAAGAAGATGTGGTATATTTATACAATGGAATACTATTCAGCCATAAAACCAACAACATAATGCCATTTGCAGCAACATGGATGTTCCTGGAGAATGTCATTCTAAGTGAAGTAAGCCAGAAAGAGAAAGAAAAATACCATATGAGATCGCTCACAAGTGGAATTAAAAAATAAAAAAGAACATAAATACTAAACAAAAACAGACTAATAGACATAGAATACAAACTTGTGGTTGCCAAGAGGGAGGGAGGGTAGGAAGGGACAGACTGGGATTTCAAAATTTGTAGATACTGACAGGCATATGCAGAATAGATAAACAAGATTATACTGTATAGCACAGGGAAATATATACAAGATCTTTTGGTAGCTCACAGAAAAAAATGTGACAATGAATATATGTATGTTCATGTATAACTGAAAAATTGTGCTCTACACTGGAATTTGACACAACATTGTAAAATGACTATAACTCAATTGAAAAAAAAACACTTAGGTTTGGTCTTCATCCTGTTAGCTCTGTGAGCTCTGTCACATCACAACTTGTCTCAGCCTGTTTCCTGATAAATATGGGAATATTAATAAATAATACCAACCCTCCAGGTTTGATGTGATGATGAAATAAGGTTTGAAAAAGCATTTTTTAAATTGAAGAATACTATATACATATAGGTATAATTATTGCATAAACAAAGTGCTGTCACATGATCTGTGTCTGCAACAGCTATTTATAGTGGCTTTTATTGTGAGCTCCTCCATTTCTCGAATTTATTTCCACCACTTATGTGTCAAGTTGCTGCAGGCCAAGCCAAGTCGGCCTGATGCTGCAGTTCTCCAGCATTACACAAGTCTCACCATGCTTCATGTTCTTTTTCTGGGTGCACTGGAAATTTTCTTTGGCTTATTTAGCTCATGTTTGTCTCACTTTAGCACATCATAGAGTAACTACTTTGTTATTCCAATGTTATTCACATTTCTTAATCAGAGAAGTTGGCTTACGAGACTACATTGGTAAAAATGTTTTGACTCCATTCAAAGACTTCACAATTGTATTTCCATGCCAATAATGCCTGTAGGTGATTATAACGGAACTTCTCAAAACTCCTGCGAAATCATCTGGAGGGTCAGATGTTTCAGAATTCTGAGATCTTGACTGATTTAAAATCTTATGATTCTATATGGCCTCTAGAGACTTTAAATTAAATCTTATGTTTGAGTGTAGATAACATCTTTAGTGTAAAGAACAGTGGAAAAGCAGACAGAATACCATAGTTCTAGTTATGACTCTATCATCACATGGCCCAGGTCTTCTTTATTTACTAGGAACAAGGAATACTCTGAAAAAGCTGTTATTAAGACCCAGCAAGATAATGTGTGTGAGTAATTCTGAAAGCATAAACATTTAAGATATTATTTTGTCACATTATATCAGAAAACCTCTCACAAAATATATACTGCATAGATTCCTACTTAAAAAAAAATTAGAGCATTACTGGACAATGCCTCACCTGGATAGAAAGATTCAGTGGCAATATTTAGCCCTAATAGAAATCATTGGTAGAGTCTAGAGTTTCTCTATTGTAAAGTGTTGCTAACACAGAATAGATGCTTGAACAAATTATTTACTGACGATGATGTAGGCACTAGAGAAAGAGGCCATTATTGATTTGTCAGCAAGACAATAATAAGCCAGAAACATCCAATTAGTCACTAACTTGTCAATTCTATTTCCATAATATCTCTGGAATTGATCTCCTGCCATTGCTACTGCCAGGTTCAGGCTTTTAGTTTACGACCATTGCATTAACCTCATAACTCCCATCTAAACCCTCTCAAGCCCAAACTTCCTACTTAAGCCAGAGTGGTTTAATGAACACACAAATCTGATCATGTTACTCTCCTGATTAAAACCATTCACTGGCTACAGGATCAAGCATTAACTTCTTACAATGAAATACAAGCCCCTTCACCATTAGGTCTCTGCTCACCCAGGCTCATCTCCTGCTACTCTGCCATGTACTCCCTGGACTCCTGAATGTGGAAATGTTTTCTTACACTTTCTTGCTTTTAAACATGCCATTAACTTTACATGGAAGTCCCTTCTTCTGTAAAGAACTCCTTTCAAGCATCCTCTTCCCTAGAAACCTGGAGTGTAATAAGAATTTTGAAACGAAGTAAAGCTAAATTCATGGGCCATGCATATCCTTTGTCTTCATCAGACTTATCATTAGTCCATGGTGCCTCTACATAGGAAGTTCATAATTATTTCCCTATCTTGAGTGAAAGTTTGAGAATGCAGCAATGAATAGAAAATTGCAAACGCATTATTGTCTCCAGGGTTTCAGGTAACATTTACACTTGGAAATGTAGTTTTCCAGATAACTGTAAACATATTTCAACATCATTTTGGTGGATGATAGCAGTGACAAAACATAAATCTGTTTTTAAACTTGGACTTCTCGACATACATTTTCATTTTACCATCCCTCAGCAAATCCAGCTGTTTTGCAATAATTAGGGATGCTGCAGAAACCAAAGGGTAGAGGTAGAAAGAGAAGCAAATTAGCAGAGAAAGGGGTCTGTGTGTGTGTGTGTGTGTGTGTGTGTGTGTGTGTGTATAACTGCCCCAAGAGCAATAGACCAAAGGAAAACTGTCCCAAAGTTTGTGCAAAAAAGAATAATCAGCCAAGTGAAAGCACTTACAAGGCAGAGAGAAAGTGAATCTCACAGATGAAGCCTCCTCCCCGAGGAAATCATTACCTGTAGTTTAATCTGCCCTAAACGTTAGTACACAGAAGAATGGTAAGAATAAGCAGAGGGAAAATGTAGAGAGTGGATCTTGGCACTGAGTTGGAGGCGGCAGAAGAGTGAAATGACAGAAAAGGTAATGTTGCTAGATTTAGCAAATGCACTATTTGGGACATAATTATACTAGAAATTATTCACTGTTTATCTGAAATTCAAATTTAACTGCGCACTCTGTATTTCATCTGACAAATCTAGGTAAAGAAAGACAATGTTATTCTGATATTCCAGGTTATGTAAGAAAAATAGTCAAAGACCAGCCCTAGAAGAAAAAAAGCGACCGCGCTAAAGCATCTGAGTCTTCGGAGAAAAGCTATTTCCGGTCTCAGGCTGTGGGAGAAATAAGGGGGAGGGAGAAGAGGATTAAGGTAGCCGGTTCAGTCCGCCAGTGTCCCACAATCCTCTGCTCTCGGTTCCTCTTTCCTCGCTTAAGATGGCGCTGCTCGCGATATATTCCTGGCGCTGGGCAGCCGCGGCGGCTGCTTTCGAAAAACGCCGGCACGCCGTGATTTTGATCCGGCCTCTAGTCTCTATCCACGGCGGCCCAGATCCGCAGTGGAGGTCACGTCAGCTCGGCGCCTCGGGAACTCGAATCTCTGCTCGAATCTCTCAGGTGAGATGCCGTTCACATGGAACTGTAGGGTGAAGGACAAGGGGACCTATAGGGAGTAGGTTGCCCTTATGTCCTCGGGTCAGGGAGAGCGCCAAGAAGAAAGGTTGTCAGAGCTAACTTGGAGCAGCAGTAAGTGAAGGAAATTTGCGTTAGAAATTTGAGGAAGGGGTGAAGAAAACCTTTGGAGGTACTGGAGATGGGAACAGTTCCCGGCAGTGAGCACCTGGAACGCTAGTGACTCTCGCAGGATTTACAGTTTTTTTTCTCTGAGTTTAAGAGATAGGGTAGACAGCATTCCCAGACTGCTTACTTTTCTAAATACAGGGAAAAACTGGACTACTTTCCAAAGTTAGTAATGGAATTTGGGACGAGTTTGCTTGTGGTTAAGATTTTACTCAGTCAGAAATAGCAATTTGGAGGGCACTGGAATATGACAAACTACCTATAAACAAGCGGCAAATTGAGTTAGCAACAGTTACTCCCTTGCTGACAGTGCTGATAGGCCAAAACCGTATTTATCTCTCTCTCCAAAACAGACCGCCCTAAATTCATGTGTAAACACGATTATCCTTTGATCTGAAAATTGTGTTCTATGTACACAGGTCACTTTGGAAACCATAAGGCTACCTATCTTTAACTAATGAATGTAGCTATGACTATAGTGCCTCTTAATGTTTGTATCCATTTTTGTTTCTCACTCAAGAACAGTTTTTTAAATTATTTGTACTTGTACTTCAATATATCTTTTTATTGCCTATATATTAACAGAAAGTTTAAAATACCACCCCTTATTCATCAGTATCACTAGTGTTGTCCGCTTTATATGAGAAACTTCTTAAATTTTGATTCTTTGTCAACAAATATTTAATGTGTACTATGTACATAGTCCTGTACTAGATAATGGAGTACCAAGAGAATCAGACACAGTAATATTTTCAAGATTGGACAATTTGGTTAAGGAGATTAGACCTATGCATTACCAGAATAATTTAAAAACAAGGTAGTAGGTTCAATATCAAATGAATAATATGATCAGTAAGAGCTGTAGGCATCCAGAAGAAATAGTGATAATTAAAAGACCAGATTATAGAGAGGATCTCATGCTGGCAGTAGAATGGAGGGAGAACATTCCAAGCAGGGAGTATAGGGAATGGCATTAGGCCTGTGGAATGCTGGAGGAATTATATCCATTCATTCAGTAATTATTGAACACTTTACATCAGTGAACAGAACAAAATATAGGCCCTGTTCATAGAGTCTAAAATCTAGACTCTTTAGTAGGGGAAATAGATAAGTAAACAGACAATTATAATACAGTAGTACAATGATGGGGAAGGTACAGAGTACTGGAAGAATATACATGAGAGGCATCAAGTCTAATCTTGAGGTGGAGAAAATTGCCTTGAGTAACTTATTTAAGCCAAGACCTGAAAATTAGAAGTTAAAGAGGGGATAACATGTGCATAGACCCACAGATAAGAGAGAGCATGAACCTTTTGTAAAACTGCATATAGTTTAGACTAGTGAGGAGTTCATGATAGGAAATATAAGATTAGGCTAGAGAAGCAAATCCAGATTCTTTTATTAAAGTTTTTAAAGCACTTTGTAGTTGAAAGTTTGTAACGTGATCTCTTGGGAACCATTCTTGTTCTGTAGTCCTCTAAAAAGCCAGGTGAAGTTTAAGAGAAAATTTGTAGGACTTTGTCTTTGATGAAGGGGAAGGAGAAGTGATTAGGAGTTTAAGAGGGAGGTGATGGCAATAAAAACAGCTTTTTCTTTTCACACGAGCACTGTCTCCACAACTTCCTTCCTTCACGCTCTCCTCTACATCCTACCATTTCCTTTGGTTACAATTTCTGAAGTGTGAAAAACAAGGGAAAGGTGTTACCTTTGTTTTCTACTTAAAGGCACACAAATCTTGCCTCTTTTTTCTTAAAATGTGGATTTAACAGGGAGATTATAAGGCTTTTAAAGTAGAACCTGATATAACCTGAGGCAAATTTTCAAGTTAATTAGTGACTTGTGATTAAGATTGCAAAATAAATACTGAATGCATACTTTTAGGGTAATTGTTAGTATTTATAGCATATTTTATAGCTGAAAGGAATCTTAGTGTAGTGTTATGAAATCATGTTAGTGGGTTGGATCAGCACTTTTTTAAAGATGAAATTTGGTAGAATAGGAAGGAAAATGCTAATGCTTTATACGTACTAAGGGAAGTATTGTTTTACGTACTTTTATGAATGTGTGTGTATGTTTATATTTTTATATATATATATATATATAATCTCTATATAGGTATATGAAACTCCCATATGTATGTAGTTACTGAGATGCATTGTGAAATGTATTTTTCACACAGGATTATGCCCTAGATCTTTGCTGTGCAATCTCTAGTAGTCACTAACTTCATGTGGCTGTTTAAATTTAAATTAAATTAAAAATTTAATTCCTCAGTTGCATTAGCCACATTTTAAGGGCTGAATAGTCACATAAATATGGAACATTTTCATCATTGCAGGAAGTTCTAACAAACAACTTCTTTGGAAAATATCATATCCAGCCCTTCTAATTTTGCAGTTGAAGAAACTAAGTTCTAGTATAGATAAATGACAGCCATTAAGACCATTCTTTCATTTGTTGCCTTCTGTGTATTAAGTATATAAGGGTAAGACTGTGGTAGACACTAATCACACAATTAATGTTTGCTGAATTGTAAAAATACTTATCTAGTAATTACTAGAGCACAATTCATAGAGGGAAACACCTAAAACAGTTTTTTTTGTAAAATTGGAAGATTTCATATGATGAGATTTAAATTGTAATGATTTATTGTACAGTTGCCTGTCTACTACACTAATTAATATTAAAAGGATTTATGAATTTTGAATGATAGAATTTGGGGGTTATTTCATTAATGATATCATAACATGATAGAAACTGAGGCACCATATACTTAATCCATAGTGCCTTTTTAATCTATGTTTAATGAGTCATTGACACTTGATCCTGACACTGATCATATAGTTTTTTCATTTGTTTTTCTTTAGACATCTTTGTTGAGATTAATTCACATACCATACTGTTCACCCATTTAAAGTGTGCTGTTCAATGGATTTTAGTATATTCAATGATACATACCACCATCACCACAGTCAGTTTTACAGTTTTCATTACCTCAAAAAGAAACCTGCTACCCTTTGGGCTATCCACCCCTACACCCCATCCCTCTCCCGCTACACAACCACTAGTCTATGTTCACTCTCTATAGATTTGTCCATTCTGGACATTTCATACAAATGGAATCATATAATATTTGGTCTTCTGAGACTGGCTTCTTTCACTTAGCATTATGTTTTCAGTGTTCATCCATGTTATGGCATGTATTAAACACTTCATTCCTTCTTACAGCTGAGTAATATTTGATGATATGGATATGAAAGGTTATCTTTTATGCATTCATCAGTTGATAGACATTCAGATTGTTTCTATCTTTTGGCTATTATGACTAATGCTGCTGAAAACAGTCATGTGCAAGTTTATATGGACACAAGTTTTCATTTCTCTTGTATACGTAAGAGTAGAATTGTTTGGTCATGTGGTAATTCTATATTTAATTCTTTTAGGAACTGTTGGACTGGTTTTCAAAGTGACTACGCCATTTTGTATTATCATCAGAAGTGTATGAGGGTTCCAATTTCTCCATATCCTAGCAAATAGTTGTTGTTATCTGACATTTTTTTTAGTCTAACCATCTTGGTGGGTGTGAAATCATGTCTCCCTGTGGTTTTGATATGTATTTCCTTGATGACAGAGGATGTTGAGCATCTATACTTGTGCTTGTTGGCCATTTGTATATATCCTTTGGAGAAATGTCAATTCAGGTCCTTTGCCCAATTTTTAATTAGGTTATTAGTCTATGTCTTATTGAGATATGAGAGTCTTTATATATTCTGGATTCATGTCCCTTATCAGATATATGATTTGCAGATATTTTCTCCCATTCTGTGGGTTGTCTTTTTGCTTTCTTGATATGGTCCTTTGAAGCACAAAAATTTTTCATTTTGTTGAAGTCAGGTTTATCTATTTTTGTCTTTTGTTGGCCATACTTTAGGTGTTACAGCTAAGAGTCCATTGCCAAATCTGAAATCATGTCGATTTACTCATATGTTTTCTTCTAAGAATATTATAACTTAATTCTAGTGAGATATAGTAATATTATTTTTGTATAGTTCTAGTTCCTTCCCTTCTTTGTTGTTTTATTTTTATATCTATTATATCTATGAATGTTATAATCCTAACAATACATTGTCATAATTATGACTTTTAAAGAATCTAAGAGAAGAAAGGGGGCAAGTAAATATTTATGGCTTTTATTATATTAACCTTTATATTTATCATTTCTGATTCTCTTCATTTGTTTTCTTGTGTTTGAGTTACCATCTGGAGTCATTTCCTTATCTGAATACAGCTGTGCTTCCACGCATCTCCTTTGTGCTGTTATTGGCAAATATATTGCATCTCTATATGTTATAGGCTCAACCATACGTTGTATACATATTATTTTATACAATTGCTTTTAAAATCAATTCAAGGAGGAAAGTAGAAAAAGTGTGCATTTATACAGTCTTTTATAATAACACAATTACCTGTTCCTTTGCTCTTTGTTTTTTTGTGTGTGGATTTGAATTACAGTCTAAGGTCACTTGCTTTCAGCCTCAAGAACTTCCTTTAGTATTTCTTGTAAGGTGTTTTTGCTAATATTAAAGTCTCCCAGTTTTTGTTTGTCTGGGAATGTTTTTTAATTTTGCCTTCAATTTCAAACAGTATCTTTCCTGGATAAGATATTGTTTTGCTTGACAGTTTTTTCTTTGAGTGTTTTAAATATGTTATCCTACTGCCTTCCAGCATATATATTGTTTCTGCCAAGAAATCAGCTATTAATTTTATTGGGGTTCTCTCGTTAGTGAGGAGTCTTTCTTGTCTTACTGCTTTGAAGA